TAGATTAATCAATCCCTCAGGGCCGACCCGCCCTGGGGGCGGAGAGCTACGTCGGTGCGACATGTCTGCCGCCAGGCACTCAGGCGCTCAGAAGGAGGAGCGCGGAAGCAGGGAGGAGAGCGAATGTGAAGGAGGCAGAGGAGGAGGACGACGACAACGAAGGGGCATGATGACGGGTGAGGCGGAGAGGGGAGGCGGAGGAACGCCGACGACGAAAGCCAGGGACGAGGGGAGGGGGGGAGGACGACGGGGGGAGGATGGAGGGAGAAGGAATATGCACAGGAGGGTAAGGAGGAGGGGGAGGAGGAGGAGGAGGAGGATGAGGAGGAGGAGGAGGAGGAGGAGGAGGAGGAGGAGGAGGAGGAGGAGAAGAGGAACAGGGGAGGAGGAGGAGGAGGAGGAGGAGGAGGAGGAGGAGGAAGGAGGAGGAGGAGGAGGAGGAGGAGGAGGGAGGAGGAGGAGGAGGAGGAGGAGGAGGAGGAGGAGGAGGAGGAGGAGGAGGAGGAGGAGGAGGAGGAGTAAGAGGAGGAGGAAGAGGAGGAGGTGGAGGAGGAAGAGGGGAAGGAGGAGGAGAGGAGGAGGAGGAGGAGGAGGAGGAGGAGGAGGAGGAGGGGGAGGAGGAGGGGAGGAGGATGAGGAGCAGGAGGAGGAGGAGGAGGAAGAGGAGGAGGAGGTGGAGAAGGAAGAGGGGAAAGAGGAGGAGGGAGGAGGAGGAGGAGGAAGAGGAGGGGGAGGAGGAGGGGGAGGAGGATGAGGAGCAGGAGAAGGAGGAGGAGGAGGAGGAGGAGGAGGAGGAGGAGGAGGAGAAAGAGGAGGAGGAGGAGGAGGAGGTGGAGGAGGAGGAGGAGGACGACGAGGACGAGAAGGAAGAGGAGGGGAGCAGAGGACAAGAGGAGGCCTGCGCCGCCGCGCCGCGCGTGGCAGTCGGCAGCGCCAGGGCCAGAGGCCAGCGACCAGTGGGAACCCCGCGAAGACGACCGACTGCCCGATCCTGAGGGCGGGACGGGGGGGGGTGGGGGTCAAACGGAGGAGGAGGAGGAGGAGGAGGAGGAAGAGGAGGAGGAGGGAGGAGGGGGAGGAGGAGGAGGAGGAGGAGGAGGAGGAGGAGGAGGAGGAGGAGGAGGAGGAGGAGGAGGAGGAGGAGGAGGAGGAGGGTTAGAGGAAGGGGAGGGCGAGGGTCAGAGGAAGGGGGGAGGGGGGCACCGAGGAGGACCAGCGCAAACCCCAGACGCATCAACGATGTTGCAATGAACTCTACCTCCAAGCTCTCTCTCTTCGTAGGCACCTGCGAGAATTTGTTTTCCCTCCGGGAAGCGCCCCGTTAGGGGACAGTCAATTGATGACCTTCGACCGGGGCAAAACACCATTCATTGGATGTCAACGCCGGAAATCAACATGACTGTTGTGTCCTAGCCATCCTAAATCGTATCAGGAAGCTGTTCGTGGGACGTCAACGCCGCGCACCCACGCGACTGTCGCATCCTGACAGTACTACATCGTGCTAGACCACAATTCCTGGGACTTCGAACGTACGAGTATATGACAACTAGAACCATCGCGCGCGCTCAAGATCTAGCTAGGATTGATAGGCTAACTCATGTCATCTCATTTTGGTCGCTTCTTGCGTCCAGGGACTCGGAAGTCCCTGCGCAACGAGGCCCTGCGTAAGTCTCGGAATCGCATAGCAGGGGAAACGCGGAAACGCAGAAATCATGAATTTCCGAAGGTATTCAACGACTTGGGGCCCTCAAAGACTTCCTGGGCTCTTTTTACCTAACAGCGAAGACTGATAGGTTTCTGGTTGACTCAAAAGAGCTCACAGATCACTCCACAGGGGGGTCCGGGCAGGTGTTGGGGAGTTGCCGGGCGGCAGGGTGCCGGGCTCGTTTTTCACCAACAGTCACACACTTCGTGCTCTTCGCCTTCCCAGAACTCCATTCCCAGGCCACATTCTGAATACCCGGATGCAACAGTCACACACAAAGTGCTCTTCGAGATCCCAGAACGCCATTCCCGGGCCACATTTAGAATAACCGGATGCAACAGTCACACACTTCGTGCTCTTCGAGTTCCCAGAACGCCATTCCCGGGCCACATTTTGGATGCCCGGAGCCAACTGTAGGCCACTTCGTGCTCTTCGAGTTCCCAGAACTCCATTCCCGGGCCACATTTTGGATGCCCGGAGCCAACTGTAGGCCACTTCGTGCTCTTCGAGTTCCCAGAACTCCATTCCCGGGCCACATTTTGAATGCCCGGAGCCAACTGTAGGCCACTTCGTGCTCTTCGAGTTCCCAGAACTCCATTCCCGGGCCACATTTTGAATGCCCGTAGCCAACTGTAGGCAACTTCGTGCTCTTCGACTTCCCAGAACTCCCATTCCTGGGCCACATTTTCAGCAGGGGCAAGAGCACGACGAGGAGGAGGACGAGCAAGACCAGGAGGACGAGGACGAGCAGGAGCAGGACGAGGAGCAGGAGGAGCAGGAGAAGAAGGACGAGCAGGAGGAGGAGGAGGACGAGCAGGAGGAGGAGGACGACCAGGAGGAGGAGGACGACCAGGAAGAGGAGGAGGAGGAGGAGGGGAGGGGGAGGAGTACCAGGAGGAGGAGGAGGAGGAGGAGGAGGAGGAGGAGGAAGAGGAGGAGGAGGAGGAGGAGGACGAGGACGAGGAGGAGGAGGAGGAGGGGGGGGGAGAGTACCAGGAGGAGGAGAACGAGGACCACCGAGGAGGAGGAGGAGGAGGAGGAGGAGGAGGAGGAGGAGGAGGAGGAGGAGGAGGAGAGAACACCAGGAGGAGGAGGACGAGCAAGACGAGGAGGACGAGAACGAGGACGACCAGGAAGAGGAGGAGGAGGAGGAGGAGGGGAGGGGGAGGACTACCAGGAGGAGGAGGAGGAGGAGGAGGAGGAGGAGGAGGAAGAGGAGGAGGAGGACGAGGAGGAGGAGGAGGAGGAGGAGGACGAGGAGGAGGAGGGGGGGGGAGAGCACCAGGAGGAGGAGAACGAGGACCACCAGGAGGAGGAGGAGGAGGAGGAGGAGGAGGAGGAGGAGGAGGAGGAGAGAGCACCAGGAGGAGGAGGACGAGCAAGACGAGGAGGACGAGAACGAGGACGAGCAGGAGGAAGAGGAGGAGGAGGAGGAGGAGGAGGAGGAGGAGGAGCAGGAGAAAGAGGAGGAGAGGAGGAGGCAGGCTGAGGCTGAGGCTGTGACTGCGACTGCCGTTGCCACTGCGACTGTCATCGCGAATGCGACTACGACTGCGAGAACAGCAGAATTCTACAACTGGATTCTCATCCGAATCTTAAGGGGAATGCTTCCAGATATGCTCCTACACATGGCTGTTAGGTTGCTTTGCCGGGATAATTTGGGAGGTGAGTGGGGTCTGAATTGTGGTCTGTTGTGAAAGAGTAGACCGGGGGCCAAACTTGAAAAAAATATCTGGAATTGTGGGATTCCCATGTTTTTCGAGTTCCTCGGCGCTGTTCGGCGCTGTTTTCTGTTTGTGCCTCGCGGGTTTTGTTAGCCGGGCCCCTCAGGGGTGTGCGATCTTCCGGACCCGCTGGGGGTTCTGGAGGCGCCCAGGAGGCCTGGAGAGCTGTCGGAAGGGTGTCGCGGGCTGCGCGGGAGCGTGTTGGGCCGTTCTTTACTTTCGGGGGGCTCCTTGGGGTCGTCATGGGCTGTCCTTCGGCGACTTGGGGTCCCCCCCGGGAAGCCAGGAGGCGCGGTACCGGCCACATGTCAGGGGATGTGTGGCACCCCCGAGGAGGAGTCCCACTTTGAAAATAAGGGGATTCTGGCAATAAAAAAAAAAAACTCGATCTTCGAGGGGTGGAAGCGGGAAAACGTGAGAAGGCGAAAAACATTAGAAAAACCATGGGAAATCAACGATTTTACCCTCTTTGGGCTCTCTCGGGACGGCTCTCGCAGCTCTCTTGGGCTGTTCTTGGATCCTCGTCGGGGTCTTTCTGGGGCCTCTCAAGGATCGGGGGTGCGTTGGGGGCATCTGGCTTGTCCCGGAGGCCTCCTGCTCCCGCTCTTGGGCCCATCTTGGGCCTGTTCTGGGGTGGTCTGGGGCTGTCCTGGGCGCCTCTTCGGCAGTCTTGGAGCCTTCTTGGTCCGTTTTGGGGCCGTCCTAAGGGTCTCTTGGGTGGTCTTGGGGCGGTCGTGGGAGCCTCTTCGGCGCTCTTGGACCGTTGGAAGTGCGAAAACGCGAGAAGGCAAAAACATTGAAAAAAAACAATGAAAATCTACGATTTTGGACTCTTCGGACCGTCCTGGGACGCCTCTCGGACCTCTCTTGGGGTCTCTTTGAGGGTACCGGGGGGCCTCGAGAGCCGTCGGAAGGCTGACTTGGGCTGCTTGGGAGCGTTTCGGACCATCCTTTCGCATTCTGGGGGCTCCTGGGAAGCGTCTTGGGCCCTCCTGGAGCGCTGTGGAGGCCCTCCGGAACGCCCGGGGGAGCGGTACCCGGTACCGGGAGCGTTCCCGAGATGTCACGGGGAGTTGTGGCCCCCGGGGCCGGGAGGAGCTCTATTGGTGTGTCTCTTGGGGCGTCTTCGAAGCCTCTTTTGGTGTTTTTTCAAATGTCTTGGCCCCCTCGTGGGCCGTCTTGGGGCCCTCTTTGGGAGCATCCTCGACCGGCTTGGGTGCCTCTTGGGCTGTCTTGGACGCAGTGGACGCCCAAAAGGCGAACACGCCAAAAATATCAGTTTCCCCTTAGGATATCGACGATTTGTGCTTATTTGGGGCTCTATTGGAGTCTATCTTGCGAGCCTCCTGGGGGCCTCTTGGGGCCTCTGAGGGGCCTCTTGGGGCCTCCTGGGGACCTCTTGGGGCCTCCTGGGAGCCTCTGGGGCCGAAAGCTCGGAAATTGAATATGGTTGTGCACCTCTGGGACACCTCTAGGGCTCGTCCTGGGGCTCTCTTGGGCTGTCTTGGGGGCCTCTCGCCGTCTTGGGACCCTCTTGGAGTCGTCTTGGAGCCCTCTTGGGAGCCTGTGGGGCAGTCTTGGGGGCCTCTTGGGCCGTCTTGGACGCAGTGGACGGCCAAAAGGCAAACACGCTAAAAATATAAGTTTCCCATCGGAAATCGACGATTTGTGCTTATTGGGCCACTCTCGGGGTGCCTCTTGGGGCGTCTTCGAAGCCACTTTTGGTGTTTTTCGGGTCTCAGGGGGCCTCTTGGGGCTTCTGGGCCCCCGTCTTGGAGCCTCTTGGGGTCTCCTGGGGGTCTCTTGGGCCAAAAGGCTAGAATTTCCGGTCCCTCGTCCCCGTCTTGGGCGCCGCCTGGGAGCGTTCTTGGGCGGTTTGGGCGCCTCGTGGGCCGTCTTAGCCCCCTCATGGGCCGTCTTGGGGCCCTGGGTGCCTCTTGGGCCGTCTTTGATGCAGTGGACGCCCAAAAGGCGAACACGCCAAAAATAACAGTTTCCCCATAGGAAATCTACGATTTTTGCTTATTGGGCCTCTCTTGGGGTGTCTCTCGGAACGTCTTCGGAGCCTTCGGGGGCCTTCTTGGCGTCACGGGAGTCATCTTGAAAGGCGTCTGGAGCCATCGTTGCGGCCTCCTGGGGCCTCCCTGCAGCCTCTTGGGGCCCTGTTGGCCCCGGGTTACCGAAACTCCGTTAAAACATAAAGAGAACGACGCCCAGGCCCCACATTTGCGGTCGTGGTCGCGGCCCCCGGCCCCCGGACTCGGTCCCCCGTTATATGCATACGCGGTAAACTTTGAAAACGAATGCGCGCGGCGCAAAGGCGGGAACCGCGTTTTGAAAAGAAGCCGCGCCCTCCATCATTGAAGCTGCTGCAAGCTCTTGCCACGAATGCGCGCGGCGCTCCCGAGCGAAGTGAGCCCCACCCTCCCCCTCAAAAATCGTGGGGGGTAGGGGTAGGGTTCGCATGTGGCCCCCTAACCAATTGAAAACCAGCCGCCCTACATCCGTGAAGCTGAGGCACACATTCAAAACGAATGCACGCGGCGCTCAGGCGAGAGCCACACTTTCAGAACGACCTGCCCTCCATCCGTCAAGCTGCTGGAACTTACGAGCTTCGGCATCATAAAGGTGCGAACGTCTCAAGCGAAACGCCAGGTCCGCCAGACCGACGTGTCTAGGGGCGCGACAAGGATGAGTTATTGATGAGGAAAGCGCATCGAGGGGGGAGGGGATGATATTTTCAATATCACCCACGCACGCACAAACAAGCGGGCCCCTGAGCTCATCCAGCAGCGCGGGCAAGAGGAACTCCAGGACGCGAATGATGGAGACAGCCGCGACGAGGCGCCGTCCACGTCGCAGGAGAAGCTCATGATTGCGCCACCTTGACATGTTATTTGGAGCGAGCGCCCAGCCAAGTACCCTTGTGACCACAGCTCTGCGCGCTGAAGCCCCACTCATCTTCGCTCACAGCCTCGCCGAAAACGTCCTGAGCGAAAACGGAAGGAACGGCATCAGCGCTGGGACCGTCACCTGTGCAAGGAAGACCGCCAGCACGAGGACTACGGGCAGCAGGCACCTGCTTGTCCAGAGGCGCGTCGGCCTGCATTTGACGAGCAGGGCGCCCGACGCCGTGCTGCAGAGCTCGTATTCGGTGAACTGGCAATGCTCCTCGCACATACTGGATGGGAAAACAGACAAGTTCGGATGGACCTCATCTTCGGAGTCAACTATTGGGAGGTCTTCGTCGGAAAGATATGAAGAGGATGAATCCCCGTTGGGGGGCTGTTACGCCGGAGTCAGCATCGGATTAAGCGGGGTTAAGCCGGATTAAGCGGGATTAAACGGGATTAAGCGGGATTAAGCCGGATTAAACCAGATATCGGACCAGGGCTAAAACAGAATTTAACCTCCTAGGTGTTGCATCCGAGCTCATCCATCTGATCCATGAGCTGCGGTTCGCACTTCTGCTGCAGCGCTGCACCACCGACCTCGGAGCCATCCGCGGCAGAGGGGTGGACCCAACACGCGGGAAACTTGACAGCAGGCGCCACAACGCCCAGGAGACCGTGCACACTGCACGTGCCACCACGAGAATGGTGTGCGCCAACTCGTGGGAAGACGAAGGCCCTGGGGGGGGGCCCCTGGAAGCCGCTGGAGACCGGGGAAAGGGGGGATGGGGCAAGCCAGGCGCTCTCGCACTACGTGTGATGTCTTACCCGCTCCCTCCCGTCCCGCCGAGTCCTCCGTTGTCCGCCGAGATCCGCACTGGCAGTCGCAGGACGTGACCCATCGACTGCTGCAAGGTCGGCGAGGGTGCGCCCCCTCCCCCCCGCGGACCTTCCGCTGACGCTCCCTCTGCGCTCCCTCCGCTGGAGCCGTCCACTGGAAGAAACGTGGGGGAGATCCCTTCCGCCGCCTTGTCCTCCTCCTCGTCCTCCTCCTCCTCCTCCTCATCATCATCATCATTATTATTAGAATCATCATCATCATCATCATCATCATCATCATCATCATCATCATCGTCATCGTCATCGTCATCATCATCATCATCCTCATCATCATCCTCATCCTCATCCTCAGCATCTGCATCATCATCATACGCATCAGCATCATCATCATCATACGCATCATTATCATCATCATCATCATCACCATCATCATCATCATCATCATCATCATCATCGTCATCGTCATCGTCATCAGCATCATCATCAGCAGTATCAGCATTAGCATCAGCATCAACATCAGCATCAGCATCATCATGGTCATCGTCATCCTCATCACCATCATCATCATCAGCATCATTAGCATCATCATCAGCATCATCAGCATCATGATCATGTTCATGATGATGATGATGCTGCTGATGATGATGTTGATGATGATGATGATGATGATGATGATCATGATGACCATCATCATCATCATGATAAGCATCATCATCATCATCATCATCATCATCAGCATCAGCATCAGCATCAGCATCAGCATCAGCATCAGCATCAGCATCATCATCATCATCATCATCATCATCATCATCATCATCATCATCATCATCATCATCATCATCATCGTCATCGTCATCGTCATGACCCCTCCTTCCCTCCCTCAGTCCCCCCTCTTCGTGCGGAGGGAGGAGGAGGGGGAGGGATGAGCGGGAGAAAAGGAGGGAGGGAAGGAAGGAAGGAGGGAGAGAGGGAGTGCGGGAGGGAGGAGTGCGGGGTGCGGGGTGCGGAGTGCAAAGTGCGGAGTCAGGAGTGAGGAGTGAGGAGTGAGAAGGAGGAGGAGGAGGAGGAGAAGGAGAAGGAGGAGGAGAAGGAGAAGGAGGAGGAGGCGGAGGAAGAGGAGGAGGAGAAGGAGGAGAGGCAGGAGCAGGAGGAGGATGCAGCGAGGAGGAGGAGGAGGAGGAGGAGGAGGAGGAGGAGCGAGGAGCAGGAGGATGGAGCGAGGAGGAGGAGGAGGAGGAGGAGGAGGAACAGGAGGAGGAGGAGGAGGAGGAGGAGGAGGAGGAGGAGGCAGCGAGGAGGAGGAGGAGGCAGGGAGGAGGAGGAGGAGGAGGAGGCAGCGTGGAGGAGGCAGCGAGGAGGAGGAGGAGGAGGAAAGCGGAAGGCGGGATCAGGGCTGCTTCCCTCTCCTCTCTGCCTCCCTGCTGCGCCGACGGCGGCGGGCGCCACCCCCTCTTCCTGCCCTCGCAGGTGTCCAGAGCGGCCGCTGCCGGAGCCGCTCGACGATGCGCTGCCTGCCAGCCGCGGAGGGGGTGGGGGGTCCCGCCGCCCAGGGTCTGCCGCTGGGGGCGGCGCGACCCCGCCGAGCCCCGCCGTCTCTTGGAGGAGGAGCAGTTGAAGGGCGAGGAGCAGTCTGACACCGCAGGCCTGTGCCTCCATGGTATACCCAGGAGGGGAAGGACGAAGAGGAGGAGGAGGAGGAGAAGCAGGAGGAGGAGGAGGAGGAGGAGTCGGGCACCCATCGGAGAAGCAGGGGATGCTCGAACTCCGCCTGCTGGAACAACGCCCTGGTGTGCCGGGCTCGCGCTCGGTCTTCCATCAAGAACAGGAGCTAGATGAGGATGAGGAGGAGGAGGAGGAGGAGGAGGAGGAGGAGAAGGAGCAGGAGCAGGAGCAGGAGGAGGAGGAGGAGGAGGAGGAGCTGGAGGAGGAGGAGGAGGAGCAGGAGGAGGAGCAGCAGGAGCAGGAGCAGGAGCAGGAAGAGAACGAGCAGGACGAGGAGCAAGTCGGCGGGCGCTCCGCACCCGATCCCACCCGTGCCGGTGAACAGACACACCGCCCCCGCAAAAATTAACTTCACACGGGCGGTGCCCTCAAGACGGCGGCGCCCGATAGATCGCAAGCTTTCCTGATGTTACTGCGAATGCGAAGCATTTGTTGCAATAGATCGCAACGGCTCCTGCTGCCAACGTGGATGTGAATCAGCTGGGTTTGACGATCAAATGGGTCGCAATCGCTTTGGCTATCAATGTGAATGTGAATCGGTCGGCAATCGGGCTTAACTGACGCCCCTATCTAAATGCCTACCCCTGCGATGCCTTTACTGGGCGCCCCCCCCCCAATGCTGACACCTGCGACGTCTCTAACAGGGCGCCCTCCAATGCTGACTCCAAATCCCGAACACAATGGTATAGTAAAGATTGCGCCACCACTCCATAAATACACCCTCGACGGACTCACCGCCCCTCCGATGCCGATAAACAAACGGAGGGCATTGCGCCAACCCGATGCTTTTCAGCACTGGGGGACCGCGAGTTCTTCGAGGGCCTCTTGGAGGTTGTGGGAGGGTAGAGGTATGAGCGATGAGAGAGGAAGGGAAGGAAGAAGAGAGAAGGTGGGAAAGCGAAGGATGAACGAGGGAGACGGGGATGGACGAACGATGAGGGAGGAGGGTAGGGAGTGGGCAGTGGGAGGGTAGAGGTATGAGCGATGAGGGAGGAAGGGAAGGAAGAACAGAGGGGGTGGGAAAGACAAAGGATGAACGAGGGAGACAGGGCTGGACGAACGATGAGGGAGGAGGGAGTACGGAGTGGGTAGTGGGAGGGTAGAGGTACGAGCGATGAATGAGGAATAGCAGGAAGAAGAGAGAGGGTTGGAATGACGAAGGGTGAAGGAGGGAGACAGAGATGAACGAAGGATGAATGAGGGAGAGGGGAACAGACGTGAGAAGGGAGGGCTTGAACAGAGTGGATGGACACAAATCGAAGTATGAACGAGGGCCGGCAAAGGGGGGAGCTAAGGGCAGGAGAAGAAGGAGGTAAGAAGAATGATGAAAATAAGGAGAAGAAAAGAACAGACAATAAGAATAACACCGAAGGGCGGAAGATGAAAGAAGGGAAGAGGAAGAGACGGAAGAAGAGAGAGGGTGGGAAAGACTCAAGGTGAAGGAGGGTGACGGGGATGGACGAACGATGAAGAAGGAGGGAGGGGGGAACAGACGTGAGGAAGGAGGGGTGGAACAGAGTTGATGGACACAAATAAAAGAATGAAGGAGGGAAGGCGCAGGGGGGAGCTGAGGGCAGAAGGAGGAGTCAAGAAGAGGAGGAAGAAGAAGAAACATCTGTGCATTTTCACTGCCCCGAACGGCATACGATGCCAGCGCCACGACGAGTGGCGAAGTACCTGGACCCCGGAGGGGTGCATATATAAACGAGCGAGCCTGGACGAGGCGGGTGCTAGTCCAGGAGAGCGTGCAAACTATCCCAAGACTTCGACAAGGTAATCACCGCAGCGCCACCCAGAGGAAAGAGAGGGAGGGAAGAGAGGAAGGCAGAGAGGGAGGGCCCCACCAATCCAAACCCAAGAGAGGAAGGAGGAGAGGAGGCGGAGAGCGAGCTGCGGTACGATGAAACGACAGGTAAAGCTCCAGAGCGACAATTTGTGCATGTTTCACTGCCCCGAACGGCATACGCTGCCAGCGCCACCTCGCATGGCGAAGCACCTGGACCCCGGAGGGGTGCATATATAAACGAGCGAGCCTGGACGAGGCGGGTGCTAGTCCAGGAGAGCGTGCAAACTATCCCAAGACTTCGACAAGGTAATCACCGCAGCGCCACCCAGAGGAAAGAGAGGGAGGGAAGAGAGGAAGGCAGAGAGGGAGGGCCCCACCAACCCAAACCCAAGAGAGGAAGGAGGAGAGGAGGCGGAGAGCGAGCTGCGGTACGATGAAACGACAGGTGAAGCTCCCGAGCGACAATTTGTGCATGTTTCTCTGCCCCGAACGGCATACGCTGCCAGCGCCACCTCGCATGGCGAAGTACCTGGACCCCAGAGGGGTGCATATATAAACGAGCGAGCCTGGACGAGGCGGGTGCTAGTCCAGGAGAGCGTGCAAAGTATCCGAAACTTTTAACGGCCAAAATTCAGCACTGTCGAAGTCCTGGGTATCTGTTATATCCTTGCCACCCTACCCTACGAGCCACCAGAGCGATCGTCATTTGGGTCATGGCCCCCGAAAAAGGGGACATGACGATCGCTGTCTGTGCTAAATAGGCTCGTGTGAATACCAGTATTCTGTTGCATCCTCATTCACCGAGGAAGCCGACGCTCCAGCCGCTTACGCAGCTCTCCTGGCAGGCGGGCATCGCGCCCGGGCGCCTCGGTCACCGTGCTGCGATCCAGCTTGCCGAGCTGTCGCAAGAGCTTGGCAGGCTTGGCGTACCTGCGAACGGAGATGACCGAGCTCCACCGGCCTCGCATCTGCACTGCGTCGAGGCTGCTGTTATAGCGCATGTCATGCGACGGCCCAGCGTGTCGGAGGCTGTGGGGCGAGATCTCGACATCGCCGACGTGGCCATGCTGCCTGAACAACTACTCCAGCTTGGACAAGGTCAGGAACCGCAGCAGCCACTGGTTGGGCGCGGTCCGCGCTGCCAGCACGCGCGCGATGTCCGAGGAGTACGCGCACCCGAAAGCCCCGAGGACCACGACCTGGTCGAACTGCTTGTTCTCGGCAGTCTTCCCGCCCTCAGGGGCCACCACCAGGACCCAGCTCTTGTTCGGCGTGTCGGGCTTCGGGCGGAAGGCCTGGCTGACGACCATCTCCAGCAGCTCGGACGGCCAGAGGTAGGCGTCGACGGCCATGCGGGTGAAGGCCGCCGCCAGGTCGCACTCCAGGGTGTCGACGCGCATGAACGAGGCGACGACTGCCCAGACGGCCTCGAAGGAAGGCGGGGCTCGCGTCGAGTCCGGGCGGGCGGCCAGGAAACCCTTCAGCGCTTCCTTCGCCAGCGGGAGGACGGTCGGGCTGCGGGGCGCGTAGTCCAGGTGCCAGCCATGCGCCCGACCGCTGCTGACGCCCCCGCCTGGAACTCGACCTCGAGGTAGTCGTTGAGGATGTGGCCCCAGCCGTCCATCAGCCCTCGGTCCACGGCGAACTGCTTCACGAGGTTGTGAGCCCTATTGTAGGTTGTAGGCGACTCGCGCCCGAGCAGCGACGGTCGCTCGTCGGAGAAAGCCCGGGGCCGTGTCGGCCGGGCTTGTAGCCCGCAGCCGCTTTCGGCCGGTGGGCGCGATCCCGAGCGCCGACCTCACCGAGGATGCAGAGCTCCGCCCTGAGCGCCTGTCCACCCCGGCGTCGCGGCCAGTCCTCCCAGCTGAGGAGGGCGCGCTGCGGGGCCCGCGGGGCTGCCGCACGCTGCCTGCTCGCGCCGGCGTTGTAGTCCCCCGCGGTTCCCAGCAGTCGGCCTTCCCGCCAGTCTCAGAGCCTCCCCTCGCCGCGGCGACAGGGTGCAGCAGGAGGAGCAGCGCGACTCAGCAGCTTGGCGATGGCGACGCAGAACTTCGGCGGGTAGGCGCCCGCGAAGGAGGTCCGCCAGCGAAAAGGTTGGGTAGCGCTCCCGGATGACGCGCCGACGGTGTGCCGGGCACAAGCACGCTGGAGCCTCCGCCCCGGGGGCGTTGGTCCCAGGTCTGGTGGGCTTCCTCCAGGCGGTGTCGTAGGCGCACATGTCGAAGTCGACGCGCTGGCAACCTGATCGTCGGAGTTCGTCTCGGGGCGGGGGCCAGCTCCGCAAGCCACTGCGGAAGACCCGGACGGTGAAGCGAGCGCAGGCCAGCACGGTCGACGTCCGCCCCGGGCTGCCCCGCGCTGCGCGCCTGCGACCACGGCTGCCTTAAGGGGTCCCCAAGAAGACATGCCAGATGAGCCCTGCCCGAAGCCACCCCAGGATCTCCGCTTGCACCTCGGGCAGCGCGAGGTCGAAGTAGGGCCCAGCTCGAACGTCGCAAGGGGCCGCGACTCGAAGCCCCGCTCCTCGGCAAGCGCCCGCGAAGCGACCACATCCAGCGAAGAGCTTCAGGATCGCCGGCCCAGGCGTCGACCGCTTCAAGGCCGAAGTATGTAGGCGGCTACCGCGGCGGACACCACGCGCAACAGGAGCACCCCCAGGAACTGGACGACGGAGCATATCACGTTGACGGGGCGCGGGCCTGCACATAGGTCGGGGAAGTCCAGGTTGAGACCTTGAACGAGGAGGCCTCGGCTCGGTCGCTCTAGCGTCGGCCTGCGACTGGGTGCCCTCGGAGTTGTCGTCGATGCGAGACCAGCTCTTGGGGGCCGCGGCAGAGAGATTGGTGGGCTCCTCCAGGGCTGCGGCTGCGTGGACGGTCTTCTCGTCCTTCCAGCGCGAGCCGGCGTCAGACGGGCTGCGGGCTGTCTCGGCACACCGTCGCGCCCAGCGAATGCCCGCGGCGCCCTGGATAGCGGCCGCGCGCCTGCGCGCCGCCAGGAGCT